CCTTAATAGTAAATAATAATATTTTGGCGCTTACACTTTTGCCAAGTATTTGGCCGGGCTTCTCCTTCCAATTTATAGTGTGCGGCTTGATGCTGTTACAGTAGGGACCTACGATTTTACGTTGTCTCCGAGCAGAAGGTGGACCTTCTTTGAAGCCTTTTCAAGCCACCACTACACTAGGAGGTTTGTAGTAGCCTACCGAGGGGCGACAGCTGTTTAGAAAAAACACCCTCTTCTATTATATTTTTTTACCAGGAATCAAACCTTGGTCCTACGAAGTGGTAGTACACACCTCTTATCACTCGGCCTTAGCGACCGCCTTAATATTCATGTAAGAAGGCGACCTGTCGGCATGTAGAGCCTTAGCAAGCACCGTGTTTTTCGTTCATCGGCCAGATTGGCCCGAATGCTCTAACATCTCTTCAACTCGTGACAGACAGAAATCGAAGGCGAGGTTTCATGCTTTGAATTGCTTTCCCTTAGCCTATGTCAGATTACTTTCTCGCCTACTCTATGCCGTCGAAAAGATTTGAGGGATCATCGGCATTCCTAGTTAGTCTATACCAACACCAGGGCCTTTTGTTGACTGTTGACTGTTGACGAAGGTAAAATTTTATTCCAGCTGTAATTAATAGGCTGCAGGAGTCTCAAAGACGGTTTTTAAGAGAATACATTGCCTTACGCCCATTTTGAAGTCATCGCTGAAGATTGGAGTCTCGCAAGCGGTGAGATCGCTGCTCCCAGCCAATTCTGTCGGAAAATGGTTTTGAAGCTTCAGTTGCAGTCAATTTTCGTGATATGATAATTGCAGCTTCTATCATAACTGATTACGATAATTCACCTGTCGGATGTGGTGTCAACTGCCTTTCCACCATATCCATGCGTAATAAATTGGTGACAATTGATCCAAACATCACTATGTATGCCCAATGTATTTTCTGCGGTCGTAGCCCCAAGGATTATCCAATTGTACTCTTGTAGTAGTCGAGCCCTTCGAACGCTATCTTTCCCCTTTTTTCAAAATTTTTTCCCAGAAAAGTTTGAAATCGACCATAGCCGCTTAAAAAGTTCCCATCTCTCTTTTCTTACAATTTAAGATTTGCTCCGTTGAGTAATAGAGTTCGCAAATTGTCTATCTTAATCGATTTGTGAACAGAACCAGACAAGTTTTGGAGAGATTAACGAAGTTCACCGTAAAGAAGAGTATTTAATGTTTTGTTTGTTGCTATGTTGCTTTCTATTACTTTAAACGCAACAATAAACAACAATAAGATTAGAACTAAACGCACGAACGTGAGGCGAAAGTAAGAAAAATAATGGAAACGACAGCATAAACTTCTCGTAATAGCGTAAATGCGTTTGTTGATATCATGCCTGCAAGCTTTCGTAAAAGTAAAAAGGCGCCTAGATAGGCAGTTGTTATTGCATTTGTTTGTTAGTATCCAACTTTATTCCCTTACATAAGTATGTATGCAGTTTAGGGTGGTCCAAAATTATATGCGTGGGAAAAAAGTTTAAAATGTTAAGCTCTAACCCTCTAGGATTTTTCTAAGTGGAAAAAATTCCATATTTTTTGTAAAAAAAAAAGATATTTAGAGCTAACATAACTTAATAACCAGGCATAAGTGTTAGAGAATGCAGACCTTATTAACTAAATTATTCATTTGAATGAAGTCCCACGTGATTAAAATAATTTTATGTTAGTCTTGACTAAGACTAAACAAAAACTAGTCTATATTTTTTTTTGAGTTCTTAAATAATTTTTTAGTAATTTCTTGTTGGTCACTTTATTTCAGCCATTGGATTGCATCATTTTAGTCACTTTTTGTTAGTCATTTCAGCCATTGGAGTGCATTATTTTGCAGTACTTTAGTTTTTTTTTCAGGGACCGAGAACTCGTGAAAAGTACATCAGTTCGGGGAAAGTGAAACTCATGATAAGGCTGATAATAAGTACAAATTTATTTAATTAGAAGTTCCTGGAATTCATTGACTGTTTCTAAATAATTTATATACTACTGGAGTTTTAATTAACAGAATAGACTAATGACTTTAACTTTGCAGTCTTTAGTCAAATATGTGTTTAATTGGCTGCAGTTAAAAAGTATTAGTCAATGAATGTGACTACAACGATTTAAAGTCACGATAACTGCATTCATTAACACCTGTGCAAATGGGGTTGTTCACACTTGTCTGGTTATCAGTTTATCTGGTTAAAAATTATTATTCTGTAGTGTATGTTATTGTTGTAAACAGAATAGAAAATATAACCACATAACCAGATAACCCGATAAACAGGCAAGTGTGTACAACCCCATTTGCACAGGTGTTAATGA